CCAGGGTAAAGTGGTGAGGTGGTGCAGGATTTTGTCCATCAACAGTATTTCTTGAGTCTTTGGATGTTACTCCTACCACTTTACGCACTTGCAGAGCATCTAATGTGTTATTGCCACACAGTGTGCAACCCCGCCTCTATTTTGAAATGGTTCAAAGGACATTCGCAGGTTCCTTGTTGCTAGAATCATCGAATACCCATGTGCTTGGGGCCATCCCGGAGCTACGCTTCCACTTCTATAGAGGAAAGACTTTCCTCTCTACAGCCAGACTGCGTCCAGAGTCCGACGTTTCTTTTGAAACGCACAGCTGCTGATACCTCGGCCACACTCATCCTGCGATGCCGAGGTATCAATGCCATTCCCCACATCGGTTTTTGGCTGGAGTCCGGAGCCCCCAAAACAAAAACACCGGGCGACGATTGGCGGCGATCGGCGAGGCGTGGGACAAGAAGGAACCGTCAAGCATTTTTGAATGAGAAATCATGGGCCAACGTGGATGGCGCCCCGGAAAGATTACCAACCTTCCGAAGACTAAGGTGGTGAAGTCACTCCAGGTATCCCTGAGTCGTTCATGGCAGCGTATCTGAACTTGGGGAGGAGTTGAAATGAGTTGAATACTGTTCGATGCTCCTCTGGTTCTTTTTCACACCTGAAGAGTTTGTTGAGAACCGCAAAAACGATCAGACATGATGTACCAGCTTCTTCAGTTCGTATCCACTTTGGAGTGTTGACCTTTTGCCGGGCCTCTTTGTGACCTCAATATAGGGTATCAAATGGATTCAATTGGTAACTTTGAAGAACCAGGAGGCTCTTACTAGAAAAGAGGTTTCCGTATACCTACTCCACAGTGCTTTTTCCATGTGTTTCCTTTTATTGAGTGTTTTTGTTTGGCTAAGGCTATAGGTAAGATGTGTGCATCATGCCCAGCCATATGTCAACTTGTGTCTTCCAGGCTCCTGAGCGACCATTGTGAGGGGATGTGAGGGGTATGAGGAGACTTTCTATATATCTCTCTCTCTCTCTCTATCTATCTCTCTTTGGCATGTTCATGGATCTTATAGCTTGGGTTTGTCCTATTACCTGTAACAGTCAGTAAACAATTATATACTGTATCACATGTTTTTTTGAACAAGGCCTGCAACACAACCATCATCATCCACTGTCCCCTGGATAGACTCGGATAGACCCAACTTATGGCACCCTTCCTTCGACGGGATGAATATGATGACTGAAGCCAATGGGCCCTACAGGTCAGTTGGACCTCATGAAACACGGGAAAGGGTCATACAAACCACCTGCTGCTCAATGAGGCTTTCAGGAGCCGATTTTACTGGTCAGACTGGACCTGTAGGGAGCTGTTTGTTGGAGTGTTTCATCCCCCCTTGCATGGTCACCGCATGGACTGGGCGGGCTGGACCCCGCCGAACCGCTGGAGTTACCCTCAGCTCGTGATCGATGGGGTGGCCTACAGCAAGCTTCTCGCAGGCCACAGCTGTTTGACATGCATGTTACACATTCTACTTGTTTTTGTGAGGTAAGATGGGCTGTTAAACTGTTGCAGATGTTGCTGTTCTGCGTCCACAAGATGGGCTGTACTTTTCCTCCGGCGCCGTGCTTTAAGACCCAGGGACCCAGGGTCGACCCGATGGCGTCGCGGTGTTGGGCGCCTGGAAAGAATCGAAGGGACTTCTGATCCGAAGCAACAACTGTTACCAATCCCAGACCCGACCTGTCTGGGACTGCCTAGAGCAAGTGCCGATCAGTTGTGGTGGTTGAAAAAGGGGTCAATGTAGGCACTTGGCTGCCTCGTCACTCGCGTGCTGGCACTCGTCACTCGCGTGCTGGCACTCGCGGGTTCATCACTCAGTCCAATGCTGTGTTTCTTAAATATAGTTTTTGTTTTTTTTTCTGAAGGTGGTGGAGTTGGGGTGTTTGACTCTCTTGATATGGTCAGTGGATATTTGGAAGCAGGGAAAATACATTGGAAGAAGATGTTGGTTGAGTCATGGCAAGTTCTCTATTAGCAACATTACAACTTATACCCGCTGTCTTCCCATAACAACTTATGGCGGAGGTTCTTGCGGCTGCTGGTCATAGCCCACATGCCTCATGGCGCTTGGCAAAATTGCCTTCGCGGGAACAGGTGGCAAGCACTAGAGCAATTGTCGACGACACTTGTCTGCATGTTTGTCTTATAACAAAAAGATGGTTGAAAGGTCAGCTGCCCTTGGTCTTGTCGGATGCAGTTTAATGACATTATGACCCCAAAAACGCATCTAGCAGCTTGGAGCTTGGAAAGGATTCTGTGGTCCTGGGACCAGCGAGTTTTTGCAACTGAGAGAAGGCGGTAAGCCTACTTGGCGTTGCAAGCATTGCAGCTGGTCGAACAGAAAGCGTGGATTAGTACCTCCAATGGAACATCTGATGTTTTCGAAGTGATGCAGCCGTCATATCCCCTGAAGACAATGGGTCGACACCTTGCAGCCCTTCGGGGCTCCCAGGGGGCTACCGAAAGGACCTGGGCAAGACTCAGTCTGCAGACGACAGCAATCCGAAATAGCCTTCTACCGGGAACTAAGGGACAGCTGCTTAACATTGCCTCGAACTGGAGGCTGCTGTACCCTGGCTGCTGTCAGACAACTTCAAGGGTCGACCCGCGATTTGGAGTATGTGGTGCCAGATGTTGTTGGCCGTCAGGGCCCACCTCCTTTGCCAGAGCAAAAGCAAGTGCTTTGTCCTAATGAATGTCCTTCCTACAGCAATAGCTCGTCAAGCACGTCGAGCAGCAGCTGCACTGAAGCACCTGAGGTCGAAGATCTGTGAGGTGAAAGAGATTGTGTCGCGAGCTGTCATGGTTCAACATGTCCAGGGAAACAATTGCATCCGGCAAGATCTTCTTGTTTAAACATCTTGGACAGCAGGCACCTTGCCGGATGCACTTGTCCAAGAACAGTAAATGCATCCATACCAGCTTCTAGGTTCAAAACCATGCAAACACCACTGCGTTGCGAAACTGCGTGCTGGCACTCTGCTGCGTGCTGAAGCTGCTAAGTGTAGGCATCATGCCGTACATAGAGAGTTAGGGAATGTCGTTCTCCATGCGTCGCGAGTTCCGGGAGTCTTCTGGTCTTTGTTATATTTATATGGTTGTCGATCTAAAGGTCCTAGACAGCATTGTGTATGACGATGACCCGGAACATATCAAAATCTCATTTGGCGAAAGTGTTTTCTCGAGTTGGCGAAAGTAATTCTTTTTTTTGGCGAAAATGACGGATCCCGGATAAAGGAATTTAGATCAACTCCCATATATTATACGATGTACCTGCTAGAGGCAGGATTTAGCGGAAGTACCTGAAAATCTCAAGTCGTAAGTCATAATGCAAAAGCTGCCTAGCCGAGCCTATGCGGACTAGTGCCTTCCACATCCACAAGTCCTACCTCATTAGACCAGTTTGCGGGCATCTCTGGAGTAAAGAGAGCACCATGACTGCATGACATGTTTTTGTGAAAAGAACCGCCCAAGTCCTTCCCCCGAGTTATGATATATATATATATAGGTTCGTGGACTTTTCGGGGCCCCCTGGGAAGCAATTTATGTTGAATCATCAGGGGCCTCATTGAGAACTGGTTTTGCGTGACCCGATCGAGTCTTTCATGAGGTCCTCATGGGGAAGATGGGTTTCTCTTTGGTCTCTGTGCGGAGTCAGCGGCTGAATTGCAAATTACCCACCAAGGTTCCCCTTTTACTCCGAGTTCCCACACGTGGGATAGAACGAGGAGGATGTTTGGTGGGAAACATTATGTTTTTTTTCTACCACGATATGACCGTGATGGTTGCATTCATGCTTGTAGCGTTTGTGGCGTTGGGGAAAAAAAACCGTTCCGCGCGTCTTCGTCGTCTTCGAAGACCGCCAGATGGTGCGTTGGGAAAAGCACCCAAGCATGACTTCGATGATCTCACCGGAGGCTGGACAGACGGAGTGGAGCCTGGGGACCTGACCTCCAAGTGACCGACCGTCCAATGACCGCTGACCTCCAAGTCCCGGGACCTTTCCAGAGGCGAAATTGCAATGACCCTCAGATCTAGAGTTTGGACCCTCACAATCTCGGGTTTTGGACTTCAATTGGCTAGCAGTTTGAGGGTCCATGAGCCTTTGGGATCTGTTACATAATATGTTTTTATGCTGTTTTGGAGTCCCTGTGTGGTTTTTTTCCGTCGTAACCAGGGGATCCTTCGTTCGGTGTTCGGGGGTGGCTCCGTTTGGGGGTTGCTTTTCATCGATCCTGGAAGTGAGAAGGTGCTTTGTTCGTGGGACGTGTACAGCCAGCTGGGGATCCACTGCTCAGCGGACGTGTTCAGTGCCGTGTAATGCAGGATATAATGGAGAATGCAGGATATAACATCTCCAAGTCACCCATACTAAAGGTCACCCATACTAAAGGTCTTTTTACACGTCAAAGGTCTTCTGCTGGGGCTGATTTGCTTCGCGCCCACCTTCTCGGAGGCCTGGATGGAAGCATCCGGGGCCCAACCTTGGGTTGGGGAGCCCGGTCGAGTTGATGCGGTGTCCGGTTGAGTCGATGCGGAGCATCGTTGGCACGCGAACGATCCCGGAGCATCGTCGTGTCACCCACCTGTAGTTGCAGTAGAATCATCGGCAACACGACACGAGTACGCAGGGGTACCCAGACCATTACTGCCCGGTCGTTGCGGTTGTCTGCCTGAATCTTCCGTTCGTGACCTCTTGATGCTTTGGTCGGTTCGGTCACCAACAGGCCTGTCAAAGGTCACTTAGTAGGGACAAAAGCTCACTGGGAAGGTCCTGGTATATATTTCTTCATCATGTTGGATAGAGATGTGTCTGGCAGTTGCTTGGATGGTGATCCTCACTACACCTCTAGGCTCCGAGCCTCCCCCCAGACAACAACCTTTGGTCAAACTTAGAAATGCTTGGGCCCTGCTTTGGATCCTGTTCCCTCACATTCCAGAGGTGATCCTAGCCCAGACCCTCCGGACTGGAATAGTTATGAAGACCCCAGCAAATCACCAGGTCACCTGACCCATCCATGTGGTCGTGACTCTTCCAGTCGCATCCTGAGCGTTTTCAAACCAACCGACCAAGGACGTGGTGCTGGCGCCTTCGAAGCGCTCTGAGTGAAGAAAGTGAACGGAGTGTGGCCAGCGCAGTGCAAAAGAGATGGTTTCGATGGTGTTGTTTGGAGAGGTGTCTTGTTTTTGGACATGGAACATGGATGAACATGGGAAGAAACAGAAGGAATCAGTCTTGTTTGCTGAAGTGAAATGACCTGCAATTGAGCTGCTCTCTTTGTTATTGTTTGTCTCTGTTACTCACTCGATCTGCATCGCAGCTAATGTTTACACTGGATACTCCGCAGCTGGTTCAAGCAACGCAGCTCTTTGTTTTTTCCAACCAATCCTTCTCAGAACAGAGCAGGCAGATCCCAGATAGCAGGACAGCGTGACCAAATCGTGTTTTTTCACCAACGGGGGGGGTTTAGACCATTGCAGGGGCTAGCAATGGACGACCGCCTTGATGATGGCGAGAATGTAGTGCCAAGTGACATTTCCATCTTGGCCGATCTACTTCAAATCTTGGGGCCGTACCAGAGCCAGGGCCTACCTCTGACGGAGCTCCATGAGAAGTTGCCTGCCCACTTGGCCCACCTGGCTGGTAGCATCGATGTGACGCGCAACTGGCTCCAGCGCTATCCGCAGATCATCCAGCTGGCTGGGCCGCGGGGCGAAGAGCAGGTGGTCTTGGCCCTGGCGAAGGCTGCTACCCCCAGCCCCAACCACGACAAGGTCGAGAAGCCCGCGCCGCCGGCGCCCGCCGGAGCAGCGAGGCAGCCGCCAGTGCCGCCCAACGTGCCCAGCTGGCCGGCAATGCCCGGAATCCACGGATGGCCTGCTCCAGTGGGCCCCGTGATGGATGGCTATGGCTACGGAATGGGTATGGCCCCAGCTGGCGGTATGAGCAATGCCCTTCGAGTGGAAAAGGACGGCAATGCCTTTGTGGGGGATGAGGACAATTCAAACCCCTGCTCTGTGCAGTTGAGGGGGCTCCCATTCAGAGCCAGCATTGAGGATGTCAAAGCCTTCCTGGGAGACCATGCGAAATACTTGAATCCTGAGAAGAAACCGAACATTTGCCTTCTCTCAAATCGCGATGGGAGGCCTTCAGGCTTTGCTCGCATCTTCTTTGTGAGTCCACAGGCTGCACACAAATGCAAAGAGGCCTTGCACAGGAAGCAGATGGGAGACCGCTATGTTGAGGTCTTGGGCACCGATCGTGGCCGGGGCCGTGCCCGCAAAGGGACCGAGGAGGATTTGTCAGTGCCACAGGCACCCTTTGATGCTGCAACTGAGCAAGTGGAGAAGGAAAGGGTCTTGAGCGAATGTCGAGAACATTTGAGCGCACCAGGCAGAAATCAAACTTTGCTCAGTATGCTTGGGATAGCCCTGACAGAACCAGCACGCAACTACCTTCGTCGTGCCAATCTGGGGCTCAAGCATTTCTTGGCTCGCTTCCCAAACGAATTTAGGGTGGAAGGACCAAAGGGATGTGAGAAGGTCATTTGGCAAAATCCTGATGGTTTGATCTACGGCCTTCCAGATGGCCGGATCATGCCTGAAGAAGAGCCGTCCACTCCTGATACCAGGCTCATGTCACCCACCAGGCCTCCGCCTTCTGGAAATCACTTCATTGCAACGCCGAGTGATTGGGGCACTCCGCAGGTGAATTCCGGAGCCATGGGGATGGACTTTCCGTTCCCGGGTCATTGGCCCAGCTTTCCACCCTGGTCCTCCTCGCAATGGATGCCCTGGATGGAGAATGCAACCACTCCAGTGAGCGCAAAGCAGAAGAAGATCAACAAACCTCCGCCAGCTGACGGTGTTCCCATGTCCAGGAGTCATGCCCATTTGCATCCCCAGAGCCATCCCTTCGCAGAAGAAAGCGAGGCAAAGAGGGATGGAGACAGTGAATGCCTCATCGACAAGAGCAGTGTGGCTGCACTTCGTTTGAGAGGATTGCCTTTCAGCGTCACTGTGCAGGATGTTCTGACCTTCTTTGCCCAGCACAATGTGGCCGACACCATCCATGACGGGCCCAATTCTGCCAAGTTGCTTCCCAAAGCCAATGGCAGGCCCTCGGGGCAGGCTGTGGTCCAGATGCGAAGCCGAAGGGATGCTGAAGTGGCACAGAAGGCATTGAACCATAAATATGTCGGAGGTCGATACATCGAGGTTTTCGTCTACGGCAATGAGGATGACAAGGATGATCTCCCAGCACCGGAGGCGGGTTCCAGCGAGGGCTGGTCCGAGTGGTCCACCAGCTTTGCCAATGCAGGTCTAGCATGGCAATGGGGGAACCCGCAATATCAACAGAATGAAGAGGCCAAGGATGGGGGGCTGGGATGCTCTCATCATGCAGGCCATGTTGCCGCTGTCGCACTCCGTGCCGCCCTTTCCAATCTCTGAGGGTTCTTCCAAACCCACCTTGCAGGTCTAGCGACCGGTCTCAGACTGGAACTCCCGAGCCCAGGCCCAGCCATTGCCACTGAGTTCCCAGAGGTTGATGAACCATTCATGCATAGAATGCATGAAGTATTCGCATGCTGTTTCAGCTTCATATGATCAAAGTCAAATACAATCATCAGAAGCAATAATCAATGTTGCATTGCCAGAGTCTAGATATTAATCAGATCTTGTGTGTTTCTCGGAATGGCAAATACATGGCAATGATGAGCCTGGGCTGAAGCAATTTTGCATCCCTTAAAGTAGGCTTGGAATGGCAAGCAGAACGGAGATTTCAAGCGAGCGTAGCGAGGGGGTGAAGAAACAAGATGACCATCAGGGCGGCCATGCCGAACAAAAAGCTTTATACAGATTTAACATGATTTAACGCATGTCTGTTCTGTTGCTTTTTCAGTGTAATTATTTCGGATCTTTTGCCAGGAAACTGATGTGCCAAGCACAGGCCTCAAGCGGCCGAGCTCTGAATATCATATCACGATATGATTCATGATCATACTACATGTATCTCACATAATAAACAATCCCTCGTTGGTCGCCTGGACCGTGGAGCATTCGTCCAGCTTAGACGTGGAGCATTTGTCTTTTCTGCATTTGGCTGTAGCTGCTGTGATTCTCAAAGAATTATGTACCCATTAGGCGCACCTAGCGGTGGAACGACGGCACATGAGACAGCAAAACTGAAGATTGAAGTTGCATCACATGATATCACTTCTCACGGAAATCAAGCATGAGGCGAAGTTTCCTTCTGTTGGAGTTGGAATTATCATGAATTGTAATATCGATTAATTATAGAACCTTCTGTTTTGTGTGTGTGTGTCACTGTCAGCACCATGAAAATGTAGATTGCTTGCATGAGCCTATTGGGTTTGAGATCAATCATGGTACAGAGTCAGCAGGTCAAGAAGCCATCAGTCCTTAGTTTTCCAAGCTGCCGCAGTTGGCCGACAGGCCCGCTGACTGAGAGGATGCACGGAGTAACACTAAAGGATGGATGGTAAAGCAGAAGGTATAGAATATCATAGAGTGTATGTCTAGAACACCATGGGTCAGTACCCATTATATACTTGGAGCCTGAGTGACCCTGTTTTGGAGGATCAACTATCCAAAATCTGGTGTTTTCCCATCAACACAGAGGTCAGTCAGGCTCTATAATATAACGAAACTCCGCTGCGCTATGCTGCCAAGTTGCAGTGAGCAGAGCCAGGTTGCACGCGTTGGCGTCCAAAACACGCAAAGCACCACAGGGGTCCCACCATTCAAGGGGTCAACCATTGGACTAGCCCACATGTAAGGTAGACTCTTGATGAATAGAACCCCCGATATGAAGAGGTTTAGTGCAGCCAAATGGGTGGCTTTGATTCATCTAAGAGTCTTAGGTCGGAGCCGGAGATGTTTGCCGTTGCGTGAGTTCGTTCTCGTTCGACCATCGGAAGCTCCAACAGGATCCGGATTGGACATTTTCCATGGTCTCCAACAGGTGTTTCCTGGTGACAAATGCCCAGAAACCACCTCTTCCCTCTCACCAAACAGCCGTTTGATGGGAAGGTTCCTGGTAGAAATCGAAAGAAGCTGGTCCCCAAACAGTCCCTATGACTCCTGCAGGGTTGGAACCCGGGTTCAGAAGTCCATACGTTTGGTGGTTACCACGGAGTGTTGCTTTGGGTTTGCTGGGTGGTAACGACTACGGACTGCCATGGTGTTGCTTTGGGTCATGTATGTTAATCGGGATATTTGGACACCCCTGGATCCCTGACACCATTGTTCCAGCGACCTGTTGCTTTTTCAGCTTCTTCACCTGGTCCTTCCACGATCCGATAGGAAAGCAAGATTTGGATGGGTGTTGGTGTAACTTTCCCAAATGCGGTCTACATGAAAGCCCCACCCAACACCACCAATATCCACCAATCATGTAGCCCCATCCTGCAGCCCATCCTGCCGTCCCATTGGTGTTCCGTCTGTTTTTTTCTGACCGTCACCCCGGAAGGGTCGGCGTGGACGGAGCAGCTGGTCACCCGATTTCGCCAGTGAACTGGTGCGTGGAAACATGGCAATCAATCGAATCGCAAGTACACTCCAAGTACAGCTCATGCGTTCGGAGTCACATGGAGTGGGGCAGGTCCAGACCCGTAGATGATGGGCACCCCATGGCACCTCCATTTGATAAGCACCCAGTTCCATGGAACTGGTGGTGGAAGATTGAAGATTGTTATCGATTGTTAAATAGATCTCTGAAACATGCTGAAACTACCCCAATGTACCCCAAAAATCCACTGCCACTTTCTCAGGTTCGGTACGACTGGACCCTCCAATCCTATGTAAGCCGTGTAAGCGTGTCCAACACATCACCATCTCAGAGGGTACTTGTATGTGGATCCAGTAACACCATAGGGTAACATTGCCAGTCCCATAAATGTCTTTGGGATTTGCTTCCGCCCATCGAACGGCCCTCCGTTTTTGTTCACAGAGGCCCGCCACGCTGCTCGTCGGCCATGTACCAACACAGTCGACAGCTGCTCAGCTGAAAAGTTCGTGGAGATTTGTCATAGATGGATGGTTTGGGCTTGGTGGCGTTCGGCGGAGTGTGCGCTTGGTGGCGTGAAGGCAACTGCCCTACTTTGCAGAAAATGCCGAAGAATCCCAAATGCTCCCGGCCCGCATCCTCAGGTTCGGTGCTTGGAGTGGGTGCCAAGGGGGTGTAACCACCGAACTTGAGGATATGGGACAGGAGCCCAAACGGGAATAGTCAGATGATGTCTTTCTTTGCTGAGATGTTGGCCCAAATCCATTTGCTCCACTCCCAAGAAATTCATTGCTCGGCATTGCCATTTGGGCGGTCTAAAGCAAATAGATCAATACATGCATGCCTTTCGGAACGGTCAACCTGTTTGATGTATGAATAGGGAGGAAAATACATGTCTGGACACACGCAGCCCAGGGTGACCCAGCACCTTTCAATTGAGCACAGCTATGGGACTTTCACCGATTTGGACCGATGTGTCCGATGTGAAAGCGCCGAAAGAAACGCATCGACATGGCGCCAACTTGTGACTATGCCCAAACCATCCCAGACCATCCATGGGACTGGAATACAGTTACACATTTACCACAATTATTTGCTCAACTGCATGTAACGATTCCAGTCCCATGGATGGTTTGGATTGGTTTGGGACTGTTGATTTTGCTGCTGGATGGGTTGACCTCCTTGTTCTCGGTCTTTGTCGCGTCTCATCGTCCACAGATCTGTGGTTGTCACGGAATCCGTGGCAGCGCGGTGGCGTTTCCCGGCCCAGTTCGCTGGAACCGGCGAACAGAACCGACCAGGGACGTGATGTCTATTTGCCGGCAAGGGAAGTAAGGCCAGCGACCACCAAGGCCACGTGTTGTCTATGGCTCCAGAGTGAAAGTCTGCAAGACCAAGTCGTGTGTTGTGTCAGTGTTTGGTAGTACACACGTATATAATATATACACATGACAAGCTCGATCTTGTTTTTGACATCCATTTGCATGGGTTCAGAATTGTTCACAGGCTGTACTTGTACATATGTATACTAGCAGACATAAGAAAGCTACGTACACGGCACAGGAAATCACTTGATTGAACTATACTCCTACAAGAATCCATTGGTTCTATAGTCTATGAGGATTTGCTGGACATAAAGCTTCCGAAGATGGTTGCCCTCTGATCAGCTACGCCAAACACATATTTGGCTCAGTCGAAAAAAGCAGCCCAAACGCAACATCACCATGTTTGGTGTGTGTGTGTGTGTGTCCCAGGAATGGCTAGGATACCGGGGTCCTCCCACTCAACATGTTGCACTTCATTTGCAACATAAAACCTTCACTTTAGGTCAGAAGCAGGTGCGGACTCACCAGAATCCTAGCCTTCCAAGAGCATTAAAAGAGTGATTCTTTGGTAAAGATCATGAAATCAGGATACAAGGAAGGATGCAACGCCCGGACCACCTTAAAAAATCAGGCCATTTCATCTAGTTTAATGATAACGACAATAATGCATATATATATTATATTATATATATATGGTGGCCATTTACTGTAGTGATTACGTGGCCCTTAAGAAGGGCAAGTTACATCTCTTTATTTCCTGATTCGCGAAGCTGTCGCTCCGTCGCTCCACCGTCCAGGCCCTCCGTGTATTCGGTGGCCTCGCGGGCCACCTCACCAGTGGCGTCCTCGGGACAACTTGGTGTTTTTGAGGTCAAATTCTTCTTGTTGCGATCGTTTTTGGCTTTTCTGGTGTGGGGGACTGTGAACATCTGTGAACTCAACAAAATTGAAGCTATTTTGTTTGTCCACGAATGAACAACTTTAGCATAGCTTGATGTTCAAGTTAATTGAAAGTGCCTTTGGAAACCAGGAAACATTGGTTTGCACAGAACCCTTCTTCCATGCCGAATCTTTAAGTGTCCGTTGGGATACTGAGTACTGGCAGCGGCCTCGACGCGGAAGATCGCGAGCGAATCAGCTTCCGACGTTGCATCACCTGTTTTTCTCGTTTCACAGAACATATAGACAATGAAGCTCTAGAGCAAGTGATGCTTGAATATTCTCAAGAGGGACAGTATGATGAGAAAGTCTTGGATGCCATTCAACGTCAGGCTTGAAATAGTTTAGCTTTCCAGCTGTGTAGCAAGGCAACCTCGGGGAAAGAGTGGTGGGAGGTTCGCACGTTCCCAGAAGAACTCGTGGTGATTTGGATTCAAAATAAGGGAAGAGTAGTGGCAGCCACTGAGGGGCTACTCCTCTTCTTGTCAGGTGGATGCCATTACCAATCTACATCCATTCCTGCTGTCGTTCTATCAGATCTTCTTTACCAGGTAGTTTGGGGCATCCCTGCCGCATCCTGACCATTCATCATCCGTGCATCTTCTGACATGGATGACACAGATTTGTGGCAGAAATCTCAGACTTCATGCACCATCTCATGCGTCAATCTGTTGTTTTTCGGAGGTGATGACCTGACACCGGCCGCACCGTTTCCGAAGCGACCACGGAGCCAGAGCTACCTCGACCCACCGGGTCCGAGGTGACGATGATGGGGCCTCGCTCCCCAGCGGCCCCGAGGAGGCCGGGTACGTCGGCGAAACGCGGGTCACGCGAGCTGTTGGGGAACGGGAATCTTGACCAAGGGACCTCTGATTTCTCAAGCACCCCCTTACGGTAAATCTGTCAGTCCCATGAAGTGTCTGGGAAGGTGTGTTTGGGGGGTCTAACCACCTGTCAGGATATGGGACAGGAGCCCCAAAAAGGCCTCGAATATAGATCCTGGTTGAACAAAAAGCGAACCAAAAGCATGTGCAAGGCCTTTCTGTGCGTTGACCTGAGGAACATCTTCTTCGATTCGGAACTTCCCAGGCCCGGTGCCTCCTACCAGCCGCCGGCCCGGGCGGTGCGCTCGGTGCGCTGCGCCGTGAATTCACGGCCCAGCACTGTGCCACCTGGCGGAAGGAGGATTGGACAACGGGGTGAAGGGCGAGGATTTGGAAGCCCTGAAGGATCTAATTAAGATGTTTTAAGGCTTTGGATATCGGGAATGTGATCTGCAGAAGGAAAGGAATTAGCAGCTCATGCTTTCAAATGCTTTCAAACTGTTGCTTAAGGTATATACTCTTTTCATCTCTTTTCTGTGGAAATAGTGAAACGAGAGCCGCTACAGACATGAATAGCTCAAAAAAGATATTGTTGTGTGGTGGTGGGTAGACGCACTTCCTTTCGAGACGGCTCAGGATGCCAGCCCCGCCTTTGCCAGTTGAGGAGATGAATCTCTGGCTCACCGCTGTGCCTTGGAAGAGCAGTGTTTTTCAGCCCACCAGGGTGAAACCGCTCGTGGGTTCGGTTGAAGAACTGGAAGAGATCCTCCAAGCAGGAGAACCATGGCACGGGCGGCCAGAAGCGGTGGGACCGTTGCGTTCGACTCACCTGGAACGGGGCTGTGCGGGCGAGAGACTTGTTCAAAGAAGCGGGACGTGCCGATGGAGGCTCGACGTCTTGGTGATGATGATTATTTGTCGTTATTTGTATCCCAATGTCCAATGGGTGAATCTCCTTTTGGATTGTTTGAAGCATCTCTTCCTGGTTCCTGAAGCAAGTCCAAGATGATGGCCATGATTCCGGAACTTGATGGTTTCTCTGGCGGAGCACAACATCGGCCATTCTCTCGGCACTCATTGGGTTGGTTGAAGATTTTGCCAATCACAATCCCCGGGATTCCCTGCAGATGCTCCTGTGACTTCCCTTGAGCTGATGTGTATTTCACTATTTCACAGTCTTCCTGCACATGGTAGGATGTCCCTTAATCACTCTCAAGTGGATTAATCACGGCCCTTCGATGTCCACATTAGTATGTGGTATCATTCCTCAGGTCCTGCATTCCTCTTGCGTACACGGCGTACACGTCACGTCTGCAGTACCCGTCGTTCGACGTCGCAGGCGCAGAACTTCGAGATGAACACAGACTTCGATGTGGGATCTTTATTGGTGAAGCGCCCCAGGGTGGGCGAGAGTGAGAGCTGAGATCAGTAGGTGAAGATTGGCTTAAGCGAGATCTTAAGTTGAAGAGCGAGGTTTGCAAGTGGACTCTAGAATCCTCTGGCACGTCCCAGACTGCGTTGTTTTATCCTCCAGTTGCAGCATGTTGCAGAATTTGTTCGAGATCCCTTGACAGCTCCAGTGGCACTACTGGCAACAAAACCGGTCTTGAAGTCTTGGTTGTGAGGTGTTTGTACCCTGCCACGGATCAGCAGGAATGTGGCTGAAGTTTGCTTCGGAACTCTGTGGAGTTCCCAGAAAGTCAGTGGAGTTTCATCTGGGGAACGAGCATTTGACACCAAATGCAGGTGTCTAGGACTAGTCCTCAGGCTTCAGATTGATGAAGATGGTTGAATCAACACACCAACATCAATTTGGGATGACACTGGAAGAACAAAAATTACACCAGCATAGACCCAGATAGCTAGGCAGAATCCCACGACCTGTTGACATGCGACTGGCTGGAACAAGAATTAAAGCAGCCTGCACAGCCAGCTTACGACACCTCGCACAATCAGCTGACACCAGCACCCGGACAGAGCCGCCGCCCGTCTTAAACGCGCGCTCAGCCAGCTCACAGCACCAGCACCCAGGACCACAACACCAGCACCAGCACCGACACCCTTTCGAAAGCGCGCGCAGCCAGCTCATTCTTATTTGCAGCAAGAACCCCATAGCTATCCCTACTTGGGGAATAACAACGTATGATCTTGCACGTATAAGTTTATGCGCACAAAAGTACCCGCGCAAACAGCAAAACCCGTAAGTGTCGTTGGCCCAAGGCCAAGCAGTATCCAGCGCCACTATTGACTTTGTAGCATGCTTGAAGCAACGATCTGCAGAACGATAAGGCCGTATGATCTTGCGCGTATAAGTTTATGCGCACAAAAGCATGCGCACAATCGGCAAAGCCCGTAGGCTTCACTCGCCCAAGGCCAAGCAGTATCCAGCACGACTATTGTGTGTGTAGCATGCTGAAACATGCTGAAGCAATGGTCGGTTGAGAGCCTGACGCATAGAACATTATACGTACAAAAGTACGCGTGCAAACACGAAGGGTGTAAATACCCCACTGCGCTAATAGACAAAGAACGCTCAAGTGACAACACCGTATGATGTTGCGTGCATAAGTTCATGCGGCCCATGACTGCTTGCACTTCATTGTCAGAAGCGGCGCTTGGTCGCCCTTCACTGCTGCAAGCGGCGGTTTGTTACCCTGCACTGTCAGAAGCGGCGGTTGTTATCACTTCACTGTCAGAAGCGGGCACCAGCACCGAGCACCGGCGCGCCAGCTCACGGCGCCCAGCACCAGCACCGGTATATAGCACCAAGCACCAGCACCCGGCACCCTGTCTCCACCACGCACACAGCCAGCACCCAGCACCGGCGCCCAGTCTCCACCACGCACACTGCCAGCTCACAGCACCGGCACCGCCCTGTTTCCACCGCCCACCAGCACCGGCAACCTGTCTCGAAAGCGCGCGCAGGCAGCTCATTGTTATTTGAAGTAAGACCTCCATAGCTTCGCTATAGGACCAAAAAGATCGCCACATATATGCAAGCTACACCACCAGCACCCAGCACCAGCACCAGCAACCTGTCTCCACCATGTGCACAGCCAGCTCACAGCACCAGCACCGGCACCCGGCACCCAGCGCCCGCACCGGCGCCTGACACCAGCACCAGCAACCTGTCTCCACCACGTGCACAGCCAGCTCACAGCACCAGCACCGGCACCCGGCACCCAGCACCAGCACCGGCACCGGCACCCGGCACCAGCACAGCAACCTGTCTCCACCACGTGCACAGCCAGCTCACAGCACCAGC